GAATTATTTATCGCTATAGACTAAATTATAGGCACTATTATCGGTTTAAATTATCAACTTCACTATCATAAATATTAAAAATAGATGTATCAAATGTATTCTTCTAAACCTTACATACAGTTAAGGAAATCTTATTGGAAGTAGATATATTGGACTGCCATAAAAATTAAAAATTAGAAGCATCATATTTATTGTTTTTTTACCTAACTTGTTATGAATGTCAGAATGTAAGGAAAATCTCTTTGGATGTAGAAGTAAATCAAAATTTTACAATTTTATCTCTACTATCTATAATTTTTCCATAGATTATTCAGGAATCAACTTCAATTGAAAAATGAAACATCCTGTAACAGACCTTTGTTGTTTTAACAGTAAATTGTAATTGCAACTTATTGCTTGGACTTGTGTAAGATGTTGAGGAACCAGGTCCATCCATTTGGTTGCACAAAAGGATCATTTTAGTGTTGAGTGTAAGTTGTGTCACGGCAGAATCCAGTGTTTTAACCGTAGCGTTTGAGTAAAATAGGCTTTGGATACTAGTGTTGCTAAAAACTTGATGGGCTATGTTTTTTTACCAAATGGTCATATCTTTAACCCCCCCCCCCCCCTCCCCGGCAAACAAATACCAATTGTTTGCACCAAGCTCGTATTACCATGCAACTCTTTCCAGGATTCGGTAATTTCCAATTTTTCTTGTCTCGTACTGAACCTTTCGTAAGGAAAGTAAAAGTTTTTCGCTAGCTTTCAAAATTAATTAATGTCCCATTAAACTGTATCTGGTTTTAGAAGTCTGAATTTTCCACATTTTCAAAAGACCAATGACCTTTTAACTTCTAAGATCAAAAATGCTCACGTGGAAGAAATATAAAAAGAATAGTTCTACAAGTTCATTGTTCAAAGAATAAGAAATAACAGGCAGCAAGCTTACGTCAACATCACTGGATGGAAGATAAAGTCCCGTCTTAAAAGAACCAAAAACTTCTACCTGCAAAACAACATCACACATCTCAATAACTTCTGATCTCACAAAAAAATGCTTGAGAATATATTCGAAGCCCCACATATACATATCAAGCGTACCTTAGCATCGCGCCAGATATATTTTATAACATCAGAAACAGATTCTATGGCAGCATTGCGTGATGTTTGCTCTTCCGGCGTTGGTGATAAAAAGTCACAGAAATCAACTATCTCTGCATGAACCAGCATAAGAAAACAACTAATTTGCTTCTTTTTTGGCATAATTCAAACAAAATTTTATAACTCCCTACGACCACAAACAAGTTAAATTTTTCATGCTTGCTAACATTTCATGCATTAATCTTTCATATAAGTTCCGTTTTGATTCAACTAAAATTCAGCTTAGAATTTTTTCTCCACGGCTTAAAATTCAATTAATTTACTCAGAAATAATCAAACAATTTAATTCAAACCTCTATGGAGCTGTAGCATTGGGCTTTTAAAGCGACAATTAGCACGAAACCAATTTCCTTCCAGGGTCCTCTCCCGCTCAGTAATGGCAGCGTCCTGCGGCTGAGGCGGCGACGGCGGACGAGGAGTAAATGGCGGAGTCCCTTTCGTCTCCTCAGCATCGTTCACCTCGAGAGAGAAGTAATCCGGAGCTAATGTTGCCGGAGAAGGGCATTGAACAGAGGAAAGCGAAATTTCACTTCGCAAGATGACGTAAGGTTCGTCATCATCTGACGGCGGCGGAGGATGCGTCGACGGCGGCGGTGTTGCCGTGTCGGTGGCACCAGCGCCGAGAGGACTTAGGGTTTCATACAGAATACCTTGCTCGTTTTCCATTGACGGCGTTGAAGTGTACGGACAGGATTTGACGGTCTTCCCTATCCTCAATATTCCTTTTCTGGGTTTTATACCGTTCAGGGGGTTTTTGCCAATTTGGAGGCTCGACCTCACGCCTTGATTTTTTATCCTACTACATATAAAAGAGTGAGTTTTCACTATTTATGCCACGTCATCGTCAACCAATACGACGTGGTTTTGTTAACCGCCTTTTTCTACTGCTTCACAATACTTCTGCCTTATTTTCTCTGCAAAATCATATGCACAAAATTCACACTGAATTCACGCTGCCGCACTGCTCGCCTATTTTCTCTGCACATCCATAAAATTCACAAAATTCACACCCACCTCGCCGACTGCTGCCTATTTTCTCTGCAAAATCCATCAATTGGATTTACAAAATTCACGTTAGATTCGTCCATCCCGACGCCGCCGCTACCTAAGAGGTATTTCTTCACTTTCCCCTCAACCAGAACTGACAGTCTCACAGAGACACGGTCGATGTCTGTGCGAGACATGAGCGGAGCTCAAGCAATTTGATGTTTTATTTATTTTTCTTGTGGATAAAATTGAATATTGGAAAATTCTATTTTGATTGTACTACTGGATGGAGGCATGGAGAAGTGGACGGAGGCAGCATGAAGGAGGCATGAGTGCACGAAGGCATTTCTTTTCTACTCCGTCTCAGAGGTCCGTCCAAGTGGACGAAGGCATGGAGGAGCCATGAGTGCACGGAGGCATTTCTTTTCTACTCCGTCTCAGAGGATTTCCCCAATTCATTTCTTCTTCCTTATCTCCTCAATCCCCCTTTCTTTTCATTTGCCCGTTTTCATTTCATTCCCCAACCCTCAATTTTCCTTCTCAAAATCGGTCGCTTCTCCTCCAGCCATCTTGATCCATACCGTTCCCACCATTCATCAATCATCCACCACCACCACTACCACCACCACCGTCTGGTTTCCCTTTCACCTTATTCCGAACAGCTCCCCGAGACGGAGACTCTCCATGCGGGACGGAGACACGCGACCGTGTCTCCGTCGGCGTGTCTCCGTTCCATATTTGATACCTTTTCTTTTAGGATTTTGATTCTATATACACTCAATATCTCACTTTTTTCATGGATCTTTTAAGGTAAAGATGAGTGGATTTCCCTTTTTGTGGCAGGAAGAGCTCACCAAGGAACTTGATCTGCAGATAAAGGGTGCTAAGAAGCCCCCTGTTTTCATCAAACAGTTGCAGGGACAACCCCGGCAAAAAGGCAACGAACGATTACCTTCAATTCTTCTGTTTCTGAGAGTACTGACCCAAATCTCATGAAAGATGCTTTCTCCAAATATGCCAATTACCTCAATGAACTGGTAGGCTTTATTACCCCCTCTCTTTTGTTTTGAAAATGAAATACTTCATTCAATCAGAACAATACTCTGTTATAGTAGTAGAATAAAGAACGAGCAGTAATCAGTCCATATCATATTTCAACTTCATTACATTTGTACGTATTTTTTTATTTTTTGTTTTGAATTTCCACAATTTCTTAGACCTAGATTGGCAATACATTTGATTTGCACATGCTTGAGTGAATGATTTTTGATTGAAGGTTGATTGATGTAATTTGAGGAAGAGTCCACATTTTTTGGTTCACATTCTCCACGTAACACAGGTTTTACATAATGACTATTGCGAATAACATTGTTGTCAAGTATAAAGAGAGAAAAACAATTACCCATTTAATTGTCGATGGGCCAACCAATCCTTTGGTGACACCTGTTCTCACGGATCTCTATCAGTTCACTATGGTCTATGCTTACTGGAAAGTCGGGAAACACGACGAACGAGCAGTGTAATTCTTTATCTGTTTGTTTCTTTGCTCGTCGTGACTTGCATGGTTAATCAGTTTATGATTACGTGCCATTTTTTCATGTGGTTGATTGAATTCTATTGTTGAGTTTATTATTGATTGGTTGGGAACTCTAAAAATGAAGTAGTGATTGTTGTTATTGTATTAGAACGGTTTAGTTTATATCTTAAACATATTTTAATTCTTAATCCTTTGATAACTTCCCACATTCGTGGGTTTAAATCAAACAGTTGTTATTGAACCAAAATAATGATCGTACGAACAATATTGGTTAATTATAAAGAATCGTGGAAGGAAATAATTTGTTCAATCAGTCACAAGAGAAATAACAAATATGAGTACTTGTATTTTCAACATTCCTTATTTTTTCCAGCTACAGGAATGATAATTAATAAGTTGAGCTGTAGTCCTGGGTGGTTTAACATTTACGAGATTTTATTTTTGTGTGGTTGCATTAATTATTTCAGTTTATGGCATCTTTTGCCTTTGCTGGATTGAATTTTAGTTCTATTTTAAGCTTGAGCCTTCCCCAATTGCTTAGTTCCAGTATTTGGAACTCTAAGCTTGAGCCTTCCCCAATTGCTTTCTGGATTATTGATGGGATTAGTTTTGAAGCTGAAATTTGTAGTATAGGTTTCATTTGTGAATAATCGCTGAACATGGAGAAAGATATTCTTTTTGTTTGAATTTCAAAGTTAATATGTTACTAACCTTTTATTAATTGGCAATAGAAAGCATAACTGTTTGCTGGTTTTCTCCCTTTTGTCTTCTTAGGTGCATTGTTGATGATCGAAGTGGATGGATTTCAAGCATACTTCGGTCATAATGGTGTGCTGTACAAGACTAACTAAATAAGCATTACATAGGCAATATGGTTTAAGCTATTTTTTGAGACTTCTAATTTGGGATCATTTTAAATTTCTGTGTGGATGTTGGCTTGTAACCTGAAGCTTCTGTTATGCCGTGTTTGTTGCTTGCTACATTATATCTCTCCATGTAGATGTATGCTATTTTTCGCACAACATTAAAATGACTTCATTACCAGCGTCTTGTTTTCTGTATACTAAGGTACAATAGGTGAAAATTTCCTTCATCATAGAATATTGCAGTATGCCTGAAACTTTTATTAAAACCTCTACCTAGAGGTTTTCATTTTGCACATTCATGATTTGGTTTTTTTTGTTTTGTTCATTAATCCTTGCTTCAAGTTGACTTGTGCATACTCATTTAAGTATTTAATTCAATTCATATAAAAAAAATTATTTCTGGTATTTTCATCTTGCTGTTTCTTATACTTTTAATGTGGACAACTTCGGATGCTTTCAATTGTTAGCTTTTTTAATTTTCAGTGTAAAAATTTAGTTGGGTTCTTTTCATTTACCTACAATTTTTGCTTGATGTGCATTATTTTGCTCAATTTTTGCTTTCCTGGGATTCCTTATACTTTTGTAGGCGTTTTCCTACTAATGGTTTTTTTTTTTAAAATACCTAGGTATGCACATCTCAAATACTTGGCTGGGGAAATCTCTCAAGAGTATGCAACAGTAGGTTGGAAGTTCTATCCATTTTGGATACTATCAGTGATTGACTCGGTTGACGGTATAGCTCTTTTGTGAACTTCTTGATGGATGCTTGTGTTGAGTTTATATTCTAAAGATTGACGTGCAGTCTTCAGTTGTTTATGGGTTCTTATGGTAAAGCTTTGACTTTCACACATCTGGCTAACAGCACACTACTATGTAACGAGTAAAAAAAAATTGCATCAAGAAATCCATGGCTCCATCCTTGGATGGAGGCATTTCTTCATGGCAAGGAGAATCTCCATGCGTCCATCCTTGGATGGAGGCAAGAAGAAATGCATCCATCCTGAGAGAAATGGAGGAGAAACTGAATGCAAGGCATGGAGAGCTTATATGTTCATCATTCATTTGCTCTTGCATGTAAATATAGCTCTTCTACCACTAACCCATGCAAAAGTGTTCCAGAAACAATACATCTCAGAGGTGATTATGTTTGAGACCATCTTTGTCCTTGCTTTGAACCTACTGAATTTTGCTGATTATATAATTTAACATCTGCATAATGCTGCTATTATCTTCCATAGACAAGTCCATGCATGTTACTTGTGTCTTTTGCTAATAGTGCATCATGTATTTTTTCAGTTAACATATTAACTGGATTAAAAAAAAAACATTTTTACTAGCCAAGAAATATGCTATGCTTTGATTATCTCAAACCTGAAGGAGACTTACACTTGCAGGAATTTTTGAGGTCAATTTGGATAGACCGGGAACAAAAAATGCTATTGGGAAGGAATATACATTTGAGACTGTAGATAAAGACCGTTCGGGCAAGGATTTGATGATCTGCAGTTCAATTCCCAGAGTTTTCTGTGCTTGTGCTGATCCTAAGGTAAAAAATCTTTGGTTTTAAAATGAGTCATTTGTGCAAAGAGTAGACATCATGAAATAGAAAGTTTTATGAACTTTTTAAAAACAAAAACTGTGAAAGACGGAAAGAAGAAATATGAAAATCGTCAGGCTGTTGTGAAATAGTATATTAATTGATATTTAGGTAATTTAAATGTACTGCATTATAAAATAATAATTATTTAAATTGATAAATTTTGAATTCTTGTTTTTTGCATTTAACAAGCTAAGTTTTTCATACTTCATCTTGGGTAAAATTTTGAAATGTTTACATGTGAATTTTAATTATAAATTTGTAATATGAATAAGGTGCTTCTAGAGTTGGAATTGGGAATTTTGAAGAGATTCTTGTTATGAGTAAGTACTTACTTCTTTTTGACAGTTGCTGCAGGTGACCATTTAGCATGTCTCCATCCATCCAAGCTTGGATGGAAGAAATGCCTGCCTCCACATCCAAGCTTGGAAGGAGGCTTGGATGGAGGCATTTCTTCATGTCTCCATCCAAGGATGGACACATGGAGAAACTTCTCCATCCAAGCTTGGATGGAGGCATTTCTTCATGCCTCCATCCTTGGATGGAGGCAAGGATAAATACCTCCATCCAAGTTTGAAATCGTTACCTCAACTCTTAAGAAATAAAATACCATATATCTATTAAACCGAAGGACCAACTTTATAATTCCAAGGATTGAAATCGTTTCCTCAACTCTTAAGAAATAAAATACCATATATCTATTAAACCGAAGGACCAACTTACTTCAATCCTATTTTGCCAACTAATTTTGGACACTCATTTTATTCCAGGTAGGTGTTATTTTTTTCTATCCATTTGTAAAATCTATTGATGTAGGGATTTTTTTTCCTTGGTATAGATATATTTGCTTTCCCTGTTTCTTTTATTTTTCTTTTTGCAGTTTCATTGAGTGTGCCTTTTCGGCTTGAATTCTTCCCTTTTATTTTTTATGCTGATATTTATGATACTTTTAATTATTTCTCCTCAGTCCACACTTTCTTTTAGTTTTTGTTTATGTTGTTGTGTATTTATGGTTTACTAATTGAAACGGGCAAATACTATGACGAGAGCGCAAGATGTATGCGAGGTTTAGAGTAGCACAGTTCCGGTTGACTAGGTAAGATGTAAGTGAGATGTATTTAAAAAATTCCTACCTGTTGTATA